AAAGGAGATCCAACCAGTCCATCCTAAAGGAAATCAGTCCTCAAGATTCATTGGAAGGACTGATGCTGAAGGTGAAGCTCCAATACTTTGGCCACCTGATGCAAAGAGCTGACTCACTGGAAAAGACCCTGATGCTGGGAAAGATTGAAGGCAGGAGGAGAAGAGGATGACAGAGGTTGAGACGGTTGGATGGCATCATCAACTTGATGGACATGAGTTTGAGCTAGCTTTGGGAGTTGATGATGGACAAGGAAACCTGGCATGCTGCAATCCACGGATTCACAGAGTCGGACATGACTGAGTAACTGAGTTGAACTGAATAGGCAAATATATAATTTAGCATTAGAAAATTTTTTAATGATTTTTCTCCATGGTATTTGCCATTAACTTATGAATTATTATTTGCTTTCAAGTATATTGTTTCAAGTGTATTTTCTAGATGATTTTGATATTGTTGTCCGTGGAGTAGAAAGAGCACCGGTGAGGAATTTAAGGAATCCTAGAAAGAGTTTTGTCTCTATCACCATCTGTTTGTGTGGACTTGAACAAGTCATTCTGTCAGTGTTTGAACTGGTCATTATTTTTCAAATCTTAGTAGCAGAATGAACAATAGTCTCAGAACCTTCACAGTTATATTAAATTCTAAATTCATAATTGTCCTCACAACGATGATCAAAGTCTTTCCTGAATTTATAACGACTAGTGCATGTGTGGTTAGTGTTAGAGGGGTAGGGACAGGTTAGAAACATAAAATTTATTTCTTCTTCCTCTTTCTTTATTGTTCCCCTTCTTTCTTACTTTAGAGAGATCAGTTCTGTTAACATGCCCAATGCACTGGCAACAAATCCGAGATAAATGCTTGTATTTTCATGAAACTTTCAAACCTTGGAGTGACGGTCTAGCTGACTGTTCCACAAGAGAATCCAGTCTACTGCTTATTCAAGATCAGGAAGAATTGGTAAATAATTAAGTAAAATACTTCAATACAACTTAGCATTGACTTCTAGCCATATCAAGATCTTTGTGCTTTAACCTTAAGGGTTCTATGCAGATGAAAATATCAACCTTGACTTCAAGAAGCTCACAATCTGAGAGACTAAATGGACATGTAAACAAAGTAAGTATACTTTAATGAATGCAACAATATAAATGCAAACATTTGTATATATTAATATATAAATGAACAAATAGAAATATCACAAATAAGGATTAATTAACCCCAACAGGGAGTCAGGAAAGGCCTCATATCATAGAGGTGATACTTGAACTGGGTTTCAGAGGATGAGCATAAGAATGGAAACTAGCAACAGATAAACAGATTCAATATTCAGTCATTTCTTCTGTTTCATTTATAAAGACTAATACAAAACCTGATAAACAAAGAAGGAATTCTGTTTTGGATTGGATTAAATTTTACATTATCAGAGAAGAGCTGGAAGTGGATAAATGGATCCTTTTTAATCTCTAATATGTGAGTATTAGATAAGATAATTTGAATATTCAATTTACATCATTTACATGGCAAGACAGTAACATTGTTATTGAAGACTGAGATTTATAGTTAATAGCCTGAGAAGAAGAATGATTCTTAAGTTGGTTAAAAAGTTCTATGTATGAAAACACACCAACCCTTTGTCACAACATTTATTTTATCTGCAATGGGGTTTCAGGAGACAAGGAATAAACCAATTCCTTTGAGAGAGACACACACAAAAAAGTTTATAAAAGAATAAAATTTTAGACCAGAGCCGCTGCCGCCAAGTCCGGATCCCACGCCGCACGCCTCCGACGCCCGCCCGTTCGACGGTCACTCCCAATTCCTTTAGGTTCTAAGTCCAAGATGGCAAGGATCAATTGATTCAGAATCTTCTTAAGGAAGAACATGTCCCCCAGAATAAGATTACAGTTGTTGGGTTGGTGCTGTTGGCATGGCCTGAGCCATCAGTATCTTAATGAAGGACTTGGCAGATGAAATTGCTCTTGTTGATGTCATGGAAGATAAACTGAAGGGACAGATGATGGATCTCCAACATGGCAGCCTTTTCCTTAGAACACCAAAAATTGTCTCTGGCAAAGACTATAATGTGACAGCAAACTCCAGGCTGGTTATTATCACAGCTAGGGCACGTCAGCAAGAGGGAGAGAGCTGTCTTAATTTGGTCCAGCGTAACATGAACATCTTTAAATTCATCATTCCTAATATTATAAAATACAGCCCAAATTGCAAGTTGCTTGTGGTTTCCAATCCAGTCGATATTTTAACCTATGTGGCTTGAAAGATAAGCGGCTTTCCCAAAAACCGTGTTATTGGAAGTGGTTGCAATCTGGATTCAGCTCAGTTCCGTTATCTCATGGGGGAGAGGCTGGGAGTTCACCCATTAAGCTGCCATGGGTGGATCCTTGGGGAGCATGGCGACTCTAGTGTGCCTGTATGGAGTGGAGTGAATGTTGCTGGTGTCTCCCTGAAGAATTTACACACTGAATTAGGCACTGATGCAGATAAGGAACAGTGGAAAGCGGTTCACAAACAGGTGTTTGACAGTGCTTATGAGGTGATCAAACTGAAAGGCTACACATCCTGGGCCATTGGACTGTCAGTGGCCGATTTGGCAGAAAGTATAATGAAGAATCTTAGGCGGGTGCATCCGATTTCCACCAAAATTAAGGGTCTCTATGGAATAAAAGAGAATGTCTTCCTTAGTGTTCCTTGCATCTTGGGACAGAATGGAATCTCAGACGTTGTGAAAGTGACTCTGACTCATGAGGAAGAGGCCTGTTTGAAGAAGAGTGCAGATACACTTTGGGGGATCCAGAAAGAACTGAAGTTTTAAAGTCTTCTAATGTATCACTTCACTGTCTAGGTAGGTTGTAACTCATACTGTCCTTTATATCTGGTCTGTGATTAAAACAGTAATGTTAAGACAGCCTAGGGAAAAATCAATTTCCTAATGTTAGAAATAGGAATGGTTCATAAAACCTTGCAGCTGTATCCTGATGCTGGATGGCCCTTACCTTGTGTGGTCCTAAACTGGTTTGTCAAATAATTCAACTTCCTCAAGAGGTACCACTGCCCACGTTGCAGATGCTGCAGTTGCCCTTCAAGCCAGATGTGTATTTACTGTGTTCTATAACCTCTCGTTCCTTTAGCCAAGGTGCCTAGTCCAACTTTTTCCCTCCAGTGAATCACATCCTGGGATCCAATGTATAAATCCAGTATTGCATGCCACGTGCATAACTGTTCTAAAGAATCTTACGTACTGTATGAATCAGAATAGTGTACACTGCCTTGTAATGTAAAAGGGAAAAATTACATAAATAATGCCGCCAACTAAGTGTTACACCAACTAAATAAATAAAGCTTGAACAGTGAAAAAAAAAAGAATAAAATTTTAAAATAAAGAAATTTCTAGCTAGAAGCTATTGACACACAAAAAAAAATGTTAAATAGAGTTTTTCAACCTGTGGGACCACATACCTTAGTGGGCCACGCTGGAACAATAAATACGAGAAGAAAAATATAGCACATATCAGAGTGTGTGGAATCCAGATATTTGGGAACTAGCCAAATTGTGATAAATATTGTAGCCTATTTTAACCAATAATGTAAAAAAAAAAGAGTTGTTTGAGGAGATGTAATAAACCTGCATAAGCCACAACAGAGTTATTTGCCATTTCTTTTTCTTACATTATATTTATTTATTTATTTTTGTCTGTGCTGGGTCTTCATTGCTGCTCAGACTTTTCTTTAGTTGCTCAGAGTGGGGGCAACTCTCTAGCTGTGGTGTGCAGGCTTCTCACTGAGGTAGTTTCTCTTACTGTGGAGCACAGCTTCTAGGGCACTCGGACTTCAGTAGTTGCAGAGTATGGGCTCTAGAGCACAGACACGATAATTGTGTTGCACAGGATTCGTTGCTCCACAGCATGGAGGATCTTCCCAGAGTAGGGATCAAACCTGTGTCTCCTGCATTGGCAGGTGGCTTCTTCACCGAGCCATCAGGGAAGCCCTTGCCATTTCTTTCTGGTTGTCTCACTATAGGCTCTTGTTGAAAGATGGTCAGGATAACTGTTAGTGTTTTAGGGGGACTGATGTTACAAATTAAATTACAAATCTTTAATGAACTTCATCTTTTTTGTACATCAAAGGGCAGGACATTATTTTTCCCTAGAAAGTGAAAGTGTGCAGGCATCCAATCAAGTTTCTGAAAAGAATTTTTGTTGAGTTTTGCAGAACATATGACATTGTGTTATGCTTTCTGAGTCTGTAAAACATTTATTGACATTTCTATAAATTACAGTTGAAATGGATTCTTTTTATCATTCAGAAAACCAAGACATTAAAGTTTAAGACTCAGGAGCATATTCAAGTTTATCTAAAATATAATAATAATTTATTGTGTGGAAAGTTAGCAAACATTGAGATAGGTTGGTTTAATTACCAAATTTTGATTTGTTTGACTCAGTCTAAAATACAGTCTTTTTTTAAGTGCAGTACTTTAAAATGAATAGTATTTAAAATAAAGTATACTGGACTAGAATAAACATATTAAAAGGCAAATGTATTTTGTTAACTAAAATCTATTCTGAATTTTTATTTGCTTTACAGGGATTATTATCTATACTTCATTCACATATAAATGCAACTCTGATATTAGCTTATTTTTATTTTTTGTCATTAGAAAAGGTTAATTTTGGTTACATGTGTGTATGTTTCTTACTGGGGCATTATGTTTATTTTATTAAGGTTTATTATAAAATTGGAAAACGAGGTGTTTATGAGAAGAAATATAGGCATAGTTGATAGATTAAATGTGACTGAACATTCTATTTTATTCTGAAGATTAAAGTAATGGTTTTATTAAGACTGTGATCAAGTAAATCTGGAAGGTATCATATGATAGTAGAAAGAGTAACAGACACTGCTTTTATTTAGTTGTCTAACCTAGACAGCATATTATAAAGTAGAGACATTACTTTACCAACAAAGGTCCATCTAGTCAAAGCTATGGCCTTTCCAGTAGTCATGTATGGATGTGAGAGTTGGACTATATAGAAAGCTGAGCACTGAAGAATTGATGCTTTTGTACTGTGGTGTTGGAGAAGACTCTTGAGAGTCCCTTGGACTGCAAGGAGATCCAACCAGTCCACCCTAAAGGAAATCAGTCCTGAATATTCATTGGAAGGACTGATGTGCCAGGAGCCAACTCATGAGATCCCACCTATGACAAGGTCATGAGGAGAAAACCTGACCAGCAAGGTAGATCAGATTTTCAGGGATTCTGAAAAGCTGCCCCCGGTGCTCACCTTAAAGATGATATCTGTCTTTCTGATGCTTGCTTCAATAGACTACTCCCTAATTTCTGTGACATAGGCAGAAGACCTTCCTCAATCTCTTTCCAAACAAGAATCAATTTAGAACTTTAATCAATAAGTTTTCCAGGTGGTGGTATTTTATGAGATTATCCAGGGTGAAAGGAGAGTTTTAATTTAAACTCCTTTGCTGGCATTTTAGTTTGTTTGGCAAACGCATCTATGCCCTTGGTACTAATATACATGACTGCTTATAATACCCTAATCATAAAACAGCATAAAGAACCTGATCATATATAGGCCCTAATAGACATAGAGCCCTTCGGGGAGTGAAGGAGCCCTATTAGAAAATATAAGAAAAATTATTATAAAGGTAGTTATTGGGTTAACCTGTGTGTTTTTGCTTGCTGTGTTTTTGCCCCTAAAGGGCCAAAGGTGATATTATGGAAACCATTGTTAATATAGTTAAAGATCTAAAAAAATAACAGCTTAGCCCTAGTGTGGTAACAATTAGATGATTGTTAATTGTCAGCTAGAAGTGCTAGGCAGAAGCTGTGTCACTGAAGCCGCAGAGTCTGTGTGGGGTAAACTTCTTAGATAAATTCAACTGACAACTTCTGCAGAATTAATTTTTGTGTTAAGAAGGTTATACTTCTACTATGTTGTAACATGCTGTACTGTTGCCCTATGGGACTGTAACTTTTCTGTTAAGATCACCACAGAAACAGAAAATAGGTTTACATTCACCTGACTTGCATAAAATGTTAATAGGCCCCAAGGCCAGAAAATAATGTACAAGACCCTCATAAACAAAGAAGTATGCAGAAAACACCCTGGTTTCATGAAGGAAAAGCTGATGTAATGTTAAACTATCTTCCCCTTAGAAATGTACTAACTTAGGGTAAAAAGCTATGGTAAAAAATAAAGCATTGCCAGACTCTGCTGCACACCACCAGTCTGGTCTCTCTCTCTTTCTCTCTCTCTTTCTCTCTCTCTTTCTTTCTCTCTCTCGCCAACGCCACTCATCCTGAGGGTACCCCTGGATCCTACAGAGGCTGGACCCCGGCACTGATGCTGAAGTTGAAACTCCAATACTTTGGTCACCTGATGGGAAGAACTGACTCATTTGAAAGACCCTGATGCTGGGAAAGATAGAAGGCAGGAGGAG